AGGCCTGGCCACACGCGTGCGCGCGCCGAGCGCGAGCCCGAGAGCGAACGCCGAGGAGGCAGGACCATCCCCTGTATGTGCCGGTCGAGGCGTGCCCATGCCGCCGAGGCGGCAGATTTTGTAAGTCGTTGTCGGCTTGATTATTTGACGGATGTCTTGCTCACATCATCTTAGGTTTTTTTGTGTGGAGCGCGTTGGGATCTACGGCACCTTGGGCGAGTGAGATCGCCCAATTTCTTGGGCCCACATTCTTCCCTCCTTCCTCCCTGCCGTCTCCCTTCCTCCACCCTCCGCCCTTATCCCCTCTCCCCCTTCCGGCCCTCCGCTGCGACGACAGCGAAGACGACGGACGGCCACGGCGACGACGGGCGGCGACGGACGACAGCAACGATGCACGACGGAAGTTGCCGACCGTCAGCACGACCACGACGGACCATGACGGACGTTGGACACGGACGGTCCGCGACGACGGCGCACGACCGCCACGACGGTGCCGCCCTGCGCCGCTCTCGAAAGAGACGGCCGCCTGCCTGGGCGCGCTCGCGCGCGCGCTGTCGTGTCACCGATGCCGGCGCGCGGCGCGCCCGCGCGGGCGCCGGCGCGGCATGCTCGCGTGGTGCGGGTGCGACACGCGTCCACAGGAGCGGCGCGGCCGCCGCCCGCCGCTGGCCATCGGACGACGTCGGGGTCGCCACTCGTCGTCGTGGCCGTTGCCCTCAGGCGTCCCTCCTCTTCCTCCTCCTCCTCCCCTCCTCCTCCTCTCCTTCCTCCTCCGACTCCTCCTCCTCCTCCTCCTTCTCCTCCTCTCCCTCCTCCTCCGACTCCTCCTCCTCCTCCTCCTCCTCCTCCTCCTCCTCCTCCCTCCCTCCTCCTCCTCCTCCTCCTCCTCCTCCTCCTCCTCCTCCTCCTCCTCCTCCTCCTCCTCCCCCGCTCCCCCTCCCCCTCCCCCTCCCCCTCCTCCTCCTCCTCCTCCTCCTCCTCCTCCTCCTCCTCCTCCTCCTCCTTCACCTCCTCTTCTCCTCCTCCTCCTCCTCCTTCTCCTCTCCCCCTCTCCTCCCTCGTCCTCCCTTCCTCCTCCTCCTCCTCCTCCTCCTCCTCCTCCTCCTGTTTGACCAGTTTGACCAACAACACGGATCCCGCAGTGCAAAACCCGAGGCAAAAAGTGGATTGGGTCGAGAGCAGCTCGATGAATGCCACCACGCGCCGAGAAGCCATACCTCCCGCGCTGAACCAGGATACTCCGACCGACAACCGCCCTCGAGCTGGGATCCTTGCCCGCGAGGAGCAGGGCAAGGGACTTCTCGGCCCCCGAATTACGGGGGTGCTCATTGCACCTGGCTTTCAGGTAGCGGGAGCTGACAACCCCGAACGCCGCGCATCTACGACACCACACCACTGTCCCAGAAGGTCCAGAGCCCGTCCAGAGCACGTGTGACGGGTGCGCCGTCGCAGCAATCGCGGGGATGTTTGGGCACGGGAAGGCAGCCAGGGCGTCTCTGGACCTGGCCTTGCCTCCACAGCAAGCTCAAACGTCACTCTTCCCCTCGCTAAAGATCGTGTGTCCGTTGGGGCTGGCAACTAATTCGAGCTGGGGGGCATCTCGGAGGGGTTTCGAGGCCTTGGCATTGCCCTAGCAACGCTCGAGATCTTTGAGCCCCCCCCGCGAGGCAGCTCTCCCAACATCAAGCCGAGAAACTTACCTACCTGCTTAATACCGTCAGTCCTAGAGCTGTCCCAACTGCGGAGCACGTCGGGCTGCTCCTGCAGCAGGGCCCCCTCCTTCGCTCGACGGTCGGCCTCCTGGTTGCCTCTCCAAGCACAGAAGGGGAAACCCTTGGGCCGACGCCTTGCTCCAGGGCAAAGAGACCTGATCTTACACAGCGGAATCTGGCTCCAGCCTATATCTCGAGCTTTGGCCAAGACTTTCTCCCAGACCACGGCACGCGCCAAACGCGACGCATCTTGGTCTAGGCCAAGAATCTCCAAATGTCCAGCAGCACTTGAAAGCCCGTCCAAGCTTCCAGGGGCCCCGCATCCGCATTGAGCAGGGCCCTGTAAAGTGCCCGCAACTCTCCCCCGAGGCAGATCTGCAGGGGGTGCGGAAGGGGGCCGGCCGCACATACTGCCTAGGATCTGGCCAGTCGGGGTCATCGAACTCGCGGACCATCCAGCTCGAGAGCACCACGGAAGAGTGGAGTCAAGAGCGGAGCCTCCTCCTCCTCCTCCTCCTCCTCCTCCTCTTCCTCCCCCTCCTCCTCCTCTCGAGGATGGCGATGACGACGACGGCCTGCACTCTGGGCGTGTCGCGTGCGACGCCCTGGCGCGCACCACCTCGACGCGAGCGGCCCCACGAGCGCCAGGGCACGCGGCCATACTCCCAGCGGCGTATCGCCTGGACTGCACCCGCGCACTCACCACCCACCAAACCACCCCAACCCAACCCGAAGGCTCAGATTACCCTCGATTTCCAGTGGGGGGGGGTCGGGAAACGTCGAAAAAACACGTGTGGAACCCTTACCCCCCCCAACCCGAAATTCGGGTCTTCGGGTTGGGTTGGGGTGGTCTGGTAGGTAGTCACGCACTGGGGGCACAAGGACGACACGCGTTTCATAGCCCTGAAATTCCCAGACGTTCCGAGTTTGACGGGTTCCGTGAACCTCGCCAGCGTCTTCTCGATGTTCTGGTCTTCGTTGTTCTGGCCGTTGAAATGGGATCTGGGCTGTCTTGAGAGTTGCAGTCAGGGCGTGCTGGCATGGGATCCCGTTCTTGTGGCCCTTCTTGCCTTTGGTGGCCTTCTCGCAGTTGGCGATTGCCTCCGTCATGTTGTCGTAGAACTCTCCCCCACCTCGCTCGGAACCAACCAAGTGCAGTACAGTGGGGGCCCATGGCAAGAAACACCCTGCGTCTCCAGGGTGCCCTGGGTTGTTGGAAGGTGTTACAGGAATCCTCCAGAACAACATATTGAAAGTCTTCCTCAGGAAGGTTTGTTTTGTTGTAAGCTTGTAAGGGATACCCTCCTAAAACCTTAACGTTCCTCAGGAAGGTTATTGGAAGGCTTGGAAGGAATCCTTCAAACAAAACCTTCCTGAAGCCTTTCTCAGGACGATTGTTGGAAGGTCGTTGGACGAATATTCCAACAAACACCTTCTTAAAACCTTCAGCAGGAAGGTGTTAGGAAGGTTTTGTTGGAAGATTATGTTTCAACACCGTCCTAACTAATATCTTCCGCAGGAAGGTTTTTGGAAGTTTTGTGGACTTCCAAAAACCTTCCACATGAAGGTGTTGGACGTTTTGTTGTGAGGAGTCCTCTTATACACACCTTCCTAGAACCTTCCTCTCGAAGGTTGTTGTAAGGTTCTAGAAGAATCTTCAAAAGGCTTCCTAAATCCTTCCTCAGGGATGTTTGTTTTCTTCGGGAGGTTCTTGGAAGGTTGTTGGAAGGAGTTTAGAACGATTGTATGAAGGTTTGTGGAAAGTTATGTTTGTGGTTTTTTGTGTGTCGGAAGGTTCTCGGAAGGTCTTTGCAAGGGTGTTGTGGAAGGATGTTGGAAGATGTAGGAAGGTTTTGCAAGGTTTTTGGAACACGCAGTTGTTTTAAACACAGTCCTCGCGCCCCCCGGGAGCCCAGGAAAAACCTTCAAAAAATTGTCCAACATATCCGCAGGAACAATCAAGGATGGGGTCCGCGAACTGCCGCACTGGTGTCTTATATTGCAGGAGCGTCGCTGCCATAATTCAGTGACTCGACACATGGAGCCAACTAGTGCCAACCATGTCGTGATAAGACCTGTATGGAGGGCGTTCGGCATCGAGGCCTTCGGCGCGCATGCTCGGGTCAGCCCTTCGGGAGGGAGGATGAGGAGGCGGAGGAGGAGGAGACCTCACCCTTCCTTCCTCCCAGTCTGGAGCCTCCAAAATGGACGGTGATGAAGGAGGGACGGTGGTGGGGTGATGAATTCGGCAGAGGTGCAGCCGTCGCCCCTGGCGCGTTCCGCGCACAGGAAGGGGGGTCCAGCGCCGATGCGACAAATCCGTGCGGACCTTCGACAGCTTTCATGTATGCAGTCTGTTATGCAGGAGGCTTACGCCATTCTGCCGACCCCCAGAAGAAGGATGAAGTTCACAGGCCAGGCCTTTTGGGGGCCTCTGTGGAGCCTTCTGGGGACCTCTCTTGGGCACCTGGGGGTCTCTTCGGGCTTCTTACAGTCGGTGCGCCGAAGAAGGAACCCTTTTCGTTGAGGAGGGGCTCCGCGTTCCTGAAAAGTGTTTCGCGGCTTGTCTCAGGTTTCCCTTACGTTTTCGATCGGACATCGAAGTTTAATTCATGGAAAAAGGGGGCCTCATTCCTTATTGTAGTGGCCTTCGGCCAGTGCCGCCGATCCGGGTCGCTCGGTGTTATTCTCCAGACGCAGACATTATGGGCGCACACTCAAACGCACAAACTTCTCGGGTTACCTTCGAAAGGGCGTAGGAATGCAGTTGGGGCGTTTTTTGAGCCATCTTAGGAGCATGGAAAAAGGGGGCCTCGTTCCTTATTTTGGGTTCTTTAGGTCAAGCCCCCGACTGCAGGAGTTTCGCGGGCCCCGCTGGCGGCCTCCGGGGGTCCCCTTCGGGCGCGGCCCTTCGACCGCACTTGTGCATTGCAGTTGTTGTCCTCTCTCCGTACGGCGGCGCAACGCCGGCGGGACGGCTTCAGCCCGTGGCGCGCTTCCGCCGGCGCCTACCCCCCCCCCTTTCCTCCTCCTCCTCCTCCTGCTCCTGCTCCTCCTGCTCCTCCTCCTCCTCCTCCTCCTCCTGCTCCTGCTCCTCCTGCTCCTCCTCCTCCTCCTCCTCCCCCTCCTGCTCCTGCTCCTGCTCCTCCTCCTCCTCCTCCTGCTCCTGCTCCTCCTGCTCCTCCTCCTCCTCCTCCGGCTCCTGCTCCTGCTCCTCCTGCTCCTCCTCCTCCTCCTCCTCCTCCCGCCCCCCCCCTTCCACGTGCGCGCGAGCGGTTCGCCCCGGAGGAGCGCTTGCTGTGCTGCTGTAGTCCTGTGGAGCACCAGGCGCAGGCGCCGCCCCCGGCCGCCATAGGTTTATGTCGGGCGTGTCCCTCTGCAGGGAGAATTTTCAGAAACAGCGAAACAAATACTCTGGGTACGATGTTTCGATTGCTTTTGGATTGTGTTTGATCATAGGTTTAATTGTGTTTGATGCTTCTTCCAAAAACCGCCTGTGGGAGGAGATGCCCAGAGGATAAACCTGAGGAGAGCAGGAAGGAGAAACGGAAGTGTGCGGATCAGGCAGGCGGGCCGCTTCGGCCAGAGCGGATGACTGCGGACTCCTCCGCCCCCGTGTTCTCTGCTCCCCCTACGTACATCTCCCCTATTCCTTCACCGTTTCCCTCTTGGCTCCCTCCTTTCTCCTCCTCCTCCTCCATCTCCTTCTCCAGGTTTCCAGGTTTCCCATGATTGGGTGTCCCCGCGCGCGCCGCCGACCTGAAACCCATCTCCGCCTCCTCCTCCTCCTCCTCCTCCTCCTCCTCCACTTCCTCCCTGCCCATCAGATCCTCCTTCCTCATCTCCACTTCTACGCTTCTCTGGAGGAGGAGACGGGTCGTCGTCGTCGTCGTCGCCGTCATCGTCGTCGCCCGTCCCGAGATATCACCAGGGCAGCCCCAGCGGCCCCCGGAGGCCCCCGTAGGCGCAGGTTCTGGGGAAGCGGGTCTTTTGAGGTTTTGCGCCTGTTTTCGGCTGGGCCGCTGGCGTTGGCCCCGGAGGCCTGGGGGTCCACTCGCCTGGGCTGCCCGACCAACCGAACGTCCGGACCACTCTGAAGCGGTCGCTCTTGGGCGCACGGGCTCTGAAGAGGACTGCAGCTAAGAGACCGACATCCGTAGCTCCACTTCGACTGACGGCCGCCGCCGCTTCTCGTATCAGGGGGTCAGCACGTCGGTGTGCAGACGGGGGGGGGGGACTGCTCGGTGCGCGCGGGTGGGCTGTTGCTTTGCAGTGACCGTGCTGTTGTCTGCCTGCTGCGCGGCGGCCCCGCCAGGAGGCTTGCTTGAGCCTGCTACACTTACGTCGGGCCTGTCCCCCTAAACGGGGGTTCTCGACGAAAAATGCATTAAAAACTGAACAAATAATCAACAAATTACTGAACATAGTCCAGGGACTACTTTTCGATTATTTTTAGACCTTCTTGGGTATTTTGGGGGTATTTTTTATTTTTCGTCGAAAATCCCCCTGTAGGGGGACATGCCCGACATCATGCTACACGGGCTCTGGGGAGACGGTCCCAGGGTGCCCGCCAGGGGCCCCGGGGCCGTCCACGGAGCGACCCGGGAGGAAGGGCCAGTCCGGTGGAAGGCCCAGGGGCCCAGTCAACGGCACCGCAACGGGTACTTATTAACGGGTCTTTTGCAATTTTGCCGAAAGTTGCCATTTTAGGGCCTCTTTCTGGCAATGCAGCGTTGCCCGCATCGGGAAGGGTTGGGTTCGCTGGGTCACTGGCCAAAGTACCCGTTAGTGGAGTCCCCGTTTGAGGGGCGCTGACCCAAGGCCTGTTTCCCTCAGGACCCATTTCTTTCACGCCAACGATATTTCGATCGGCAGCCGCTCCCCCCACTCCCCCAGGTCCCGCCCGTGCAATCCCGATGCTCGTACGAGCTTTGTGTTCCTGCCCCCCACGTTCGCGCAAACCCTGTGTGTGCCCGAAGACTTCCCAACCATCCTGTGGTTTTGAGTCTTCGTTTTGAGGAGACAGCGCCCCGCGTTACTCCACCTCCCACTCCTCCTCCTCCCCCTCCTCCCTCCTCCCATCCTTGCCTCTGCCCTCCGCATGTCAACCATCTCGGCACGCCCCTCATGAGGATCGTGGGCCAAGAGGGAGCTCCACCGAAGGCCCCAGTGGCAGGGTGCGCATGGCGGCCTCGGGCTATTTCGGCACACCCTCAGGAGGATTATGGCCCCATAGGGAGCTCCGCCGAAGGCCCCAGTGGCGGGGTTCGCATTGCGGCCTCGGGCTATTTCGGCACACCCCTCACGAGAATTGTGGCCCAATAGGGACGTCCACCCAGTGGCAGGGTTCGTATGGCGGCCTCGGGCCATCTCGGCACACCCATCACGAGGATTGTGGCCCCACAGGGAGCTCCACCGGAGGCTCCAGCGGCAGGGTTCGCATGGCGGCCTCGGGCCATCTCGGCACACCCTTCACGAGGATCGTGGCCCCATAGGGAGCTCCACCGGAGGCTCCAGCGGCAGGGTTCGCGTGGCGGCCTCGGGCGAATCCGGCACACCTTTCACGAGGATCGGGGCCCCATAGTGAGCTCCACCGAATGCCCCAGTGGCTGGGTTCGCATGGCGGCCTCGGGCCATTTCGGCACACCCCTCACACGCTTCGTGGCCCCAAAGGGAGCTCTGGAGTAAGGCCCCAGTGGCAGCGCCCGCATGCGTCCCCCGCTCATTTCGACACCACGCACGTTGCGAGGCTATGGAATACAGTCGGTGTCTGGCGCGGCCTGTGGCGCGACCCATGGCGCAACCCATCGAATGTAGACCAGCTGGGGAAATCGCGATGTGGTGGCGCGTGGGGGGTCCGGCGCAACCTACGGCGCAGCCACCGGAACGTGGACAGACCGACGAGATCACGATGTTTTCCCACGCGGGGTCTTACGCAACCGATGTCGCGCAGCTCATGACACAGCCTACGGAGTGTATACGCACCGGAGATGTCGCGTTCCGGTGCCACGTGGTATCTCGCGCAACGCGCAACCTATGGCGGAAGCCATGGAATGTAGTCATACCATGGAAATGGCGATCTGGTGTCACATGGAGTCTGACGCAACCAAGGAGACCCCCACGGCCTCCAGAGCCCTCCTCACGAGGCCCAGAGGTCCGTTCGGGGCTCCTGGGTGGAGCGACTTGCTGGGGACACCTTGGGCCCAGGCAAAAACCTGGGAGTGGCCCTCTCCGCCAAGCCCCCTTTCCGGCGGGCTGGAAAGCGGACCTCTTCCTCCTCCTCTTCCTCCTCCTCCTCGTCTGCTCTCCCTACTCCTCATCTTCCTCCCCCTCCTAATCCTCCTCCTGCTCCTGCCACTGTGCTCTCCTCCTCCTCCTCCTCCTCCTCCTCCTCTTCCTCCTCCTGATGCGCCCGGGCGCGACCCCCGGGCACATGTGGTCATGTGCATCGCTGCATCTACTGAAGTCCTGGGTTCTGTCAGATTGGCTGGCCTGGGAGGTATATTTCCCAGCTTCGAACTTTGGAGGTGTACGAGGCCAGAGCCCGAGAGATCTTGGAATCAGTTTGTCGGGGGCAGCTGGTCCAAGAGCTGGCCCTACTCGCGTGACCGCTCCCGTATAGATATCCCTGGTCGGGGAGCTGGCGCGATCTGTCCCTCGCTCTAGCTCTGTGACAGAGCTGGGAAGCACTCCAAGGCCAGAGATCGCTCGTGCGCCTTCGCCTCCAGCTGGTGCGTCTCACCCTCGTCGGGGGCGCTCGCTCGTTGGCTCGTCGCCAGACCTTCATTGGCTGCGACGGCATCACCCACAGCCCCACCCTGCATGTGCTCGCCGCCTGCGCGAATGGCAGGGATGCGCCATCCGACGAAGAGTCCAGCGTCAGAGCGGTCTTGTCGGCGCAGGCGGGCGAGGAGAGTTTCGCGACGGCGGCTGCGCTGGCGTTTTTTTTTTTGTTGCGAGCAAGAGGAGGCACCCTTCTGGGCAGGGTCAAGGGAGACAAATCCTTGCCTCCCGGGCTGGCCCCCCACTCCCTCCTCCGTACACGCCCGTCGTTGAAAGTAGGTATTTTTGGATTCCCAGGTCCCACTCTGTTTCAAGCGCCTTCCTACTTCAAGCAAGATCGACACGCTTTTGCTGTGTTTTGTTATTCTCTGGGGGGGCCTGGACCCAATCGACTTAATCCGCCTTCCTACCTCATGTTTTTACCTCCTTCCGACCGACGCGTACTCGATTCTAGTCCCGCGGTTGCGTCTTGCTTCGGCCTGAGGCGGCTCGGAGCACGGGCGGGAACCCGTGCGGGAGAGGTCCCTGGATTGGAGCCGTGCGGCTTCCTTCGGGGGAGCGTAAGACCCGGGTTTGCCAGGACTCGGGTTCGCCATCGTGTGTTGACGACCGCGCCTCGGACTTTGACGAGGAGGCGCTTCGTGGGATGTCTGCAGCGGGAGGCCTCGTCAAAAAATGCAGGCTCGGCCTCGCCATTTTTTTGACGACCTCGTCGGGCCAACCCGAGTCCCCCGCGGACCCGGGTCTTCCTACGTCTCCCCGATGCCTCTGCGCAGGGCGGGGGCGCGGAGGCGGGCGAGGGCGGGCTCGACAGCCACGGGCCGTCCCCCGGCCCTCCCCCTCCGTGCACGAGCAGCTGCCCCGCCCCCCGGGGCGGACGTCGCGGAGCCGACGCCGTCGCCCGACCCTCTCCGCCGGGAGGCCCTGGGCCCGCGGGGCTGGCAGGCAACCCTCCACGGGAGGGCACCTGCCTGCCCACCTCCTCCTCCTCCTCCTCCTCCTCCTCCTCCTCCTCCTCCTCCTCCCCTTTCCCCCCCTCCAACGTGTGGCGGTGGTGGTGGAAAGCAGGCCCATCGAGGAGGGGCAGAGGGTGGGGAGGGGCGCCAGAGAAGGGCGGGTCAAAACAGCGGCGGGCAACCTGCCCACCTGTCACTCCTCTGGCGGCGCCGACGAGCTCGGCCACCAGGCCGGGCCCTCTCGGGGCACTGGACCACCACCTCGGGGATTGCCCCCTGGGTGGTGGCGCGATGGGCGCGCTTTCCCTGTTCCCCTTCTGTTCCTCCGTGTTCCCTCCTCCGCCTCCCCCCTTGGGGTGAGCTGAGAGGGTTGGCTCAGAGCCCAATCCCATCGCATTCCCGATTGCAACCCTCCGGTCGACGCCAATCTGCACGGCGGCGGTCGGTGCCACATCGTGGTCGCGATCCTCGTCGAAGTTGCCAGGGGTAGCGATCCCTCGCACGAAATCATGTCGTCCTTTTTGGTTTTTCTGTCATGGACGAGTCTCCGGAATTCCAAAGGGCCCAGGAGAATCAATCACCGTTCCTCGTGAG